ACGTTTGGGTGCTAATTTTTATTCTAAATACTTGAGATCACAGCACTAACTCCGTGCAAGGCTCACTAGCCTTTCTTTTGATACTTTGTTTAATTTATTTTTTAATTTCAAAAATAATCTTTATTTTCAAGTCCAAAGTACATTTTCTTTTTAAAGCTTCTGTCTGACTAGTCATCGCGGTCATATTGGAATCATGACGTCATAAGCAAGAAAAAACACATAAAAGCTTGTTGCGTGACATTTTTAAATAAAGAGAATTTGGATGAAATAAAAAAATGGAATCGCTTTAAAAAACTTGTAAAAACGGATAAAAACTATTCTTTCCTCCTCCCGCTCCCAACAATCAGTAAATAGACGTAAAAGGCACATAAAGTAAAGCCTATCCAGGTAAGAAAACTCATAGTTTTACAACTGTTGAAAAAGTGAAAAATATGCTTTTACGTATAAAATTAAAAAATAGAAGTTCAAAATTAAAAAATAGAACTTCAGTTTCCATTTTTACGAATTTGATAAGTACGAGACAAATCACATTTTTACAATTAAGCATAATAATAAAATGGTACGCAACATTCATCGTCAACACTTTTCACAGTTAGGTCCGTTATTCTCTTCAAGTTGAGTATTCTTTTCACATTCAACTGTGATTGATCAATTCTTACTACTTACAATATGTACCAGCATACGACATATTGTAGAATTCTTACGGCTTACGATTTATAATAGGTGCGTTCCTCTTAACACCCGCAATACTCGCGATACCTACAATTCCACATAATGTTCCACAACGACCGTGATCGTTGTGGTCACATTCAAAACATTGAGTAAAAGGCTGCGTTCCGTTTCACGCATAATGCGCATGATATATCATGGTATCTTTGTTGTTCACCACATGTTAAACAAAGATAAAAGGATAAATCATGCGCATCATGCGTAAAACGGAACGCAGTCAAAAGAAACAGGAGAAAATGTATCGGTAGTTTGATCTGCGGACGGTACTACATCATAGCAGCCATCTTGAGCGACCATATTTTTAACGTTTATCAGTAAAGTGGGGGAAAAGCGCGCGAACGTATATTAGCGTCCTTGAGCAGCCATCTTGAGCGATCACTTTTTATGTTATCACCTTTTATGTTAATATATGTATATAGGGTGCGTTCCACTTAACGACCACGACTACGACCGCAATATTTGCCGTTCCACTTGCTTGGATAAAAAAACAGACGACGAAACGACCGCGCCGACTCACCTACGAATCATGAGCGTCGTGAGCTCGACGCGGTCGCAATTAATGACGTCAGATATGACGTTTTGAACGCGATCACAACGATCGCGGTCATTATGTGGAACAGGATTGTAGGCGTCGCAAGCGTTGTGGGCCTTAAGTGGAACGCACCCATAGTCACTTCCGTCCATTTGCTCAGAATCATACACTCCCTTCTGTTTCTTTTTACTCAATGGTACAAAACGTCACAGCTGACGTAATTAATCGCGACCACGACGTTCATGATTTGTAGGTGGGTCGGCGCGGTGGTTTCGTAGTCTGCTTTTCTGCTCATAAGCAAGTGGAACGGCAAGTACTGCGGTCGTGGTCATAGTCGTTGTGGGCGTTAAATGGAACATACATATGACGTATTGTAGAACGGGCCCAGTATGAGCAGCAAGGTTCTAATTCCTACCGCGATATAGTGTCGCTACCGTCAACGCGGAGTTCTTGGCTGAGAAATCAGAAGCCTTATTCCTGATATTGATACAACAAAAAATAAGATTAGTAAAAATGTAAATATTTTTTATTAAAAAAGAATATTGTACGTTCTATATATAATATATATTTAAAAAAAAAAAAGTAAAAATGTATGAGTTTCATTAATTCTTTCTCTCTCTTTCCTTAAACCTTCAGTACGCTTAAAATTATTATTTTATTGTATTTCATACATTATTAACATCTAGATATAAGATATAGATAATAATTATAATTTGAACTAGACCTCATATGTGAAATACACAACTAAATTCGAGAGCGCCTTCAATAGTCACAGCTAGATCTTGGTGCCTAATAAATTCTATATGAATTTCTTAATTTCATTGTTATATCTGTTATAAGATATAGATATTAACATTTAGATATGTAAAATAAAAATTATATTTCTAATAATTTATAAATTTCATGTTTTATTTATAATTAAGATTATTTATAATTCTATATATACATATAATGTATAGAAATAATAAAAAATCATATGTAACTTATTTATAAAAAAACTTTTTACTTTATAATATTAATAATTTATATAAATATCTATGTATGTATGTGTATGCCTTTGTGGTTTTATTTAATTATTTTATTCTAATACAACAATTGTAAAGCATTTTAATACATCTATATACATCTATTGAAAAATTCTATTTTCCTATGTTTTATAAAGATTTACTGTACGTAAAAAAGATTCATGCAAAACCTTGTAAAGCTTTTGAGCTTTGTGTAAACCGAATCCAGGACACAAGGCCAGAGTATTGGGTTGTGCTCTTACAACGTCAGCTAATGTACCAAAAGTTGTTAAAAGAGTTGTAGCATCGGTTTTGTTGACAGATCTTATTGTTGCTAAAGCATTAACCAACTGTAATAAACATTTATTGTATATTCTCTTCTTCTCTTTTGTTATAATATCTTCATAAATTTGAAATAAGAACATTTAAAATAATAACTTTATAAATTTGTTCGTGTTGTTTAAAATCACCAAAAAATTTTGCTTGAAATGAGATAAATATATTGTATATTTGAGCATTGGAGAAAGAGAAAACAAAAATTTTGAGTGTAAAAAATGCAAATCACACGAACAAACCGCGCGCGCATGTATGTGTATAAGTATACAAGTGTATTTATAATAAAAAAACAAGTTTATAATAAATTACTTTTTGATGAGGGGCTGTATCGCTGCGTTCCATGATATCATCAGGGGGTTTACTTTCATATATTTTGTAAGTTTCAATAATTTTTCCTGCATCTTCTGCATTCCATGCTAACATTATTGTCATATCTGCCAAAATGGAAATCCTTGTCAGATGTTTTAAAGCATGATGAGGATCGGCGACATCAATCTAATTAAATAAAAAAATTCTAATGTAAATGCAATGTTATAAAATTCCTAATTTATACAAGCATAAAAAATATAAATTATAAATGCAAATGATAGAAATAAATCATATAATTATACCTGATTACAATCAAGAATGAAAAAGTAATTAGTTACAGTTATAATTTTTTCTCTCAAAAAATAACTATATAGTTACAAGTTATTAAAAAAATTATTGGAAAGTAACATGTTACAATTATAGTTAATTAAAAAATAAATTGTTACTTTATAGTTTACTTTTCTTTATATACTTTCTTTATATACTTCGTGTCGTGACGCTATCTAATAACAATTTCATTTTGAAAATGACATTCTTCAAATGGCTACTTCGTGAGTGCAACTCGAAGTTGGTAAACTGTAAAATATATTCGAAAAGAAATTGCAATATCATAATTGAAATGTTGCAAAAAGAGATGAATACACTTCAGAGAGAAATTGCAAAAAGGCATGTACTCATTTGAAACATGTCATTTTTTATAAATAAGTAAGTAATCTTTTGCATTGCTATTTTATGTACAAGATTCTTTACTTCTAACATTATTATATTATTTTATTTATTATACTAAACATTCGGTTACATGCTACATTACTTTATATACATAATAAATTACATATATATATATATATATATATATATATGTTATACAATATATTACTTTATATATATGATAAATTATACATTGTAAATACATTGTGTATATACATATATGTATATACATGTATATACATATATACATATACATATACATATATATATACAAAGTGTCCCATTTTATATTTGACACTAAAATATTTGGATATCTGTATATATATACTTTCGTCGTAGATGCTTGAAACATGACTTTCTGTTTGATATAGATGAAAGAAGACTTAAAACAAAGAATATGTGAAGCTTGCGCTGGTGTGACCCCAGAAATATTGTTTAGAGTATGACAGAATTTTATAGAAAAAATTAATAAATGTCTAAATGTAAATGGATAATAGTTCGAATATTTAATAAAATAAAAAAGAACAGAAAAATTTTGAAATTTTTTATTTAATTTATGCTTTTATTATTAATTTGAATAGACTCTACTTTAAATGCTTATAACTTTTGATAAAAGCAATTTCCAAAGAAATATTTCAGATAAAGTTTACTTATTTTTTTCTCGTAAAATTCAAATATGTAACATTTTATAGGAGATTTTTATTTCTATTTGAAATTTTGAAGTTATCCTTTGCCTCCTTTAAGAGAGAGGGAGAACGGAGGAAGACTTTTGTTTACATAGTTAGAAAGGCCCTTCTAATACATGAAACATCCTCATAAACAACTTTTTGATAAGACATATTTTAGAGTATTATTAGCCTGTAACTTTACGTACTTTGTATATGCCAAATTTGCGATCACATTCGCGAGTGACTTCGCTGCTCCGATATAAATAGATTCGCTGAAATTAAATGATACAAATGTCCTCAGAAAAATTATTAGTTAATACACATATAAATTGGACGCCAGGCACGAGGAAGCGTGTCATTCTTTTCTAGATTACTCGTTACACAACGTCGTAGATTCGATCTTAAAGATTGAATTATTTATTTCTCTATAAAATTAATTAATTCTCGGAATACGTTCGCAGCACCGCAAACAGCAACGGCTCAGAAGGCCGATAGCTCACAATTAGCGGAATTAGTAGAGGAACGGTTCAGTACAAGCGATAATAGGTGCAGAAGAACAGAGATTTGGCTGAAAGAAAAGGATTAACATAAATAAATTGCAACAAGACATACAAGAAAGTAGAAAAGAAATACAAAAAGAATATTATACAGGAAATATTTTACAGAGCTGAAAAGAATCAAAGAATTGACGGAATAACATAATCGATAACCGACATACAAACAAGAAAAAGATAAAAGTGTTTTTCCGGTCTCTTATTATCGTGCCTGGCGTCCAACTTACGCATGTATTAATAAATAATTTTCGCGAGAACATTTCCAGAGGTTGTTCCAAAAGTTGTTCCAGAAGTATCATTTAATTTCAGCAAACCCTGTCTATATCGGAACGATGAAAAGGCGACGAAGTTGCACCTCGCTCGCGAGTACAGTCGCAAATTTAACTTATATAATTTATACTTATATACAATATATATTTTACATATATATAGGATATATATAATAGGATATATATATATACATATATCCTATATAAAAAATCCTTTAGCACAAAATTCTATCTCTTATTGCAAAATTAATTGAGATATAAACAGTTAAAAATTTTACTATTTTATTCTTTAAAAATTCATAACTCTGTTACTAATAATGCTTGCTAACTTCTTTTTTTTTAAATACGCTACAAATGTTCTAGTTTACAGGAAAAAAATGAAGATTCCAGAAAAGTTTTGTTTTCCATTGTTTATTTAACAATAAACTTTTTAACAATTTTTTTAACAATCGGGAAGAGAATCGAAAAATCTGAAAAAATATTTTTTATATACTTTCAGTTTTCCTACATCTTATATTCAAAAACGTAAAAATACTCGAGAACGTGTTTTGCCTCGTTTTCGAGACAAAAATTTTTTTAGTTCTTGATGTGGGGAAAATCTTTCGAATCTCAGCGTGCGACTCTTACAAAACAGCCAAACATACAAAATACTCTCACCATACTGTTAGTATGTTGTTCGCGGCCGCTGTTTTGTATTGATTGAAAAGGCAATATTTTATATAATCGACTTTACAATATTTAACTCTCTAAACGATTTTATCATTTATTTCGACGATTTCGACCTCTCGCTTGCATTTTTTTGATTATAGTCTGCTGTACAGTAAGTACATAATCTTGCATTATAATAATTATTATTATCAAGTATTTTGATGCATTATAATTATATTATAATACAACAAAATATAATTATATAATATCGATTTTCCCCACATCGAGAACTAAAAAAATTTTTTTCTCAAAAACGAGGCAAAACATGTTCTTGAGTTTTTTTTCTAAAATGTACGAAAACTGAAAGTATATAAAAAAATATTTTTCAGATTTTTCGACTCTCCCCGATTGTTAAAAAAATTGTTAAAAAGTTTATTGTTAAATAAACAATGAAAAACAAAACCTTTCTGGAATCTTCATTTTTTTCCCGTAAACTAAATCATTTTTAGTGTATTAAAAAAAAAGAAGTTAGCTAGCATTATTAGTAACAGAGTTATGAATTTTTGAAGAATAAAATAGTATAATTTTTAATTGTTTATATCTCGATTAATTTTACAATAAAAAAATTCTTTGGCACAAAATACTATCTATGTACAAAATTAAAAAAATTAATAATTTATAATAAATTAATATATATACTTGGAATTAAAATTATAAGATCAATAATAAATTTAGATGCTAAAAGATCCCTAGATTAATTTTTAATCATTATAATAGACACTAATTTATAGACATTTACAGATTGTAATATTTATCAAAAATAAAGATATATTTTACTCATAAGAATGATTATTCACTGAGCACTTAAATCCTCATATGTTTACAAACTGAAATTTGATAAATAAAATAATTATAAAAATTACTGTTAAATATTACATAACTATATTAAGTAAAATAATAATATCTCTATCTGACTCATATAATTAAAAATTAAAGGAGTATCATTTTTATATTAAGTAACTATTAACTACTAAATACTAAATTAATTATTAATTATCATAAAAATATAAGTTTAAATTATAAAGGAAAAAAAAATATTTAAACAAATTACAGGTACTAAAAAAAGTAACTCTAACTGTAACTTTATTATAAGTTACTTACAAGGAAACCTCGCGAAGAGTCAAATTCGGATTTTAATGAAACTTGATATACTTTGAGGTCACATGAATAGATGAATTTAAAAATTATCAGTTGGTGCTAAAAAACGGTTTAAAGGGATGAAACCACCCCTTATATGTAAATTAATTATTTTTCTTGTTATATCTCGAAAACTATTCAAGATATCAAAAAATGTTTTATACAAAAGTTTTATTGTAAAATTACCTCTATTCATTTACGTTAACAGAAATTTTTTTTAAATAATTTTCAAAAAATTTTTAAAATATATTTATTTTAAAAAATATTATTAACGTTAATGAATAAAGACAATTTTACTGTAAAACTTTTGTATACAACATTTTTTGATATCTTGAATAGTTTTCGAAATATAACGAAAGAAAAAAAGAATTAATTTACATATAAGGGATGGATTCATCTGTAAACCGTTTTTTAGCACCAACTGATAACTTCTAAATTCATTTATTTATGTGACCTCAAAGTGTACTAAGTTTTATTAAAATCAGAATTTGACACTTCGCAAGGTTTCCTTGTTAATTCCCTAATCATAATTAGTATATAAAGAATTATAACAAGAGTCAACTATATTTTATAAAACAATAAATAATAACATATAAATTGCAGTTACATACCTGTACCAAGAGCACTCGCAAGTTATAAGCATTACCCAACAACTTAAGTCTTTCATGAATATAATCAGGATTCAATTGATGATAACGAATTGATAAGAAAAGAGCACATGTAGTTTTTCCCATTACATAATCTGGCACAATGTCGGAATATTCCCACAGTATGTTTGTTATAAACTTCAGTAACGGATTACCTTTCTAAAAACATTAATCCATTATTTAAAATTTTATTTAACTATTTGCTTTAAATTTTATTAAATTTATTTCTTATAAAATCATATTACTAATCTTGGGTAACATATTTTGCAAAATATTTATTTTCTTAAATTTATATTTTAATATTTTATAAAATATAAAAACAGTAGTACCTGTTTTGGATTTACGAGGACAGTGTTGGTTCTGCTTGAAAGTGTTGCAATAGAAGTTTCAGGCTTGGAAGTTGAAAAATCCTTGAAAAATTCTGATTTCTTCAAGTTACTAAAAGTAGCTGAAAAAAAGAAAACTAAATTATTAAATATATAAATTATTCAATTATGATAAAATTAAATATACATATATACATATGTATATTAGACTCAACTTTGAAATTAGTAGGTTTGTGCATTTCATGCAAATTACATTTTTTTTTTAAAGCAACTGTATGGTTTCTTTACACCAATCGATTCATTTGATTATTATGTGTCTAAAAATATTAGGTACCATTATCAAGAAATCAATAATTTACAAGACATTTTATATCATATACCGAAATATGATAAAGTACAAAATATCTTGTAAAATATTGATTTTTCGATAAATTTATCTTAATATTTTTACATGCAGAATAATTAGAGGAATCGTACTATATATATAAAAAAAAATACAATTCCATTTAGGAAAATTGATGTGATCTTTATCTGATCTTAATGACGCCACTCAAAATAAAATCAATGATACTTTCTTAGGTCTCCCTCCAAACCATACAATTTTTATTTAAAACATTTTTCGTATCTATCATATTTTTCTAGAAACATTAATGTATTATTTAAGAATATATTTTGGATCCGTCATTTTTAAATGTATATTTCTGACCTCAAATTCGTGTTCAGCGACCAAAAAAAAAAACAGGTAATACCAAACTGTATTGAAATATTTTTTCGAATTTTAACATATCTATGAAATCTATCTAAAGAAATGCATAAACTTACCAATTGCAAGAAGCAATCTGAAGATATTAATCGATTTCGATGAAATTTTACTCGGACCATATTGAGATTCATAGCTAATTTTTGAAGGGTATTAATCGATTTTCAAAAAAATTTTTTTTCGGCCCACCCTAATATATATATATTAAAATTGTCATTTTACCAAGCAAAAATCAATCATGTCTTTCCGCTCTCTAACATAAATAATATTCCTAAGTGATCACTGTGGTTACAATATAGTTTAATCAGAGCCGCTTAATTTGATATTATATTTATTAGGTCTATTTCTATTAGTTTATGAGATAAAAAGGGGTGGCCACTTAATAGGGACACCATGTGTGTGTGTGTTGCGTGTGAGTGTGTGTGTATTATATATATATATACATACATATGCGTATAAGTAGATATTTCAAATGCAGGGTTGGATAGTACCTAGTTAAAAAGTTAAAAGTTAAGTTAAAAAGTTAAAAAGTTAAATAATTTTAACTTAACTTAGTTACATTTTAG